TGCTGCACTAGGTAGGAAGCAACAGTTGTGTTTTTTTTAACGTAATCTTGAAAATTTAAATGCCTTGTTATTTAGTGCCTAAGAAATCGAGGGGGTGAGACTGATATTACATTCGTATCAAGGTTTTTGTAGGTTTTGTGGCAAATTTCTCCATGGTGGAGTTTAATGGCATGAATTACGATCTCTTGCCAATTGTGTTCGGAGCATTTCATCAAAGTTCAGTGTGTGCCACCAACAGCTGTCCCTGAAAAGTTTGCAACGACAGTGTTGCTTGGATGTGAAAGACACATGTTGAAAAATGTTTATGTCATTCCTACCAGATGGAGCATTCTCATGTCAAGATGTGTGACCAAGTTGCTTCTGACTTATGCAGCTCTATGAATTAATGTTTTCCAAAACGTCCTGTTGTTAACAGCTTTGCTAAGATCTGGCAAACTGAGGCCTGTGGCCTTCTTGATTGAATCAATCCATCTCTTGTTGAGTCTTCTGCTTTTCCTGATGCCTTCAGCTTTTCCTAGCATTATTGTGTTTTCAAGAGAGTTGTCTTCTCATAATGTGACCAAAATACAATAGTTTCAATTTAGTCATTTTACTGCTATGGAGAGTTCAGGCTTGATTTGATCTAGAACATACTACAATGGGGTTGTCTAAGGGCAGGTTTGTCAAAATTCACTGTGCCTGCTGTGACTCCTTTGCTCTCAAGGCTCCTTTTAAAAAATCTTGTTTTGGTTTTTGGAGGAAGCATTACTGTATAAAAGGTTTTTGTTTGAGAAGAACAAGGGCAGACATTGATTTAGAGACATGATCTAACAGTGATTCCTATGTAGAATTGCCCACTGAAATAAATAGGCTTATATTGGAGTAACTCTGCCAAGGTTTCCTCAAATCCCGCCCCCCCAGCGGAGCAGAATATAAAATGGGCAATGCAAGACCATGCACAGCTCCAGATTGCTGCTGAGCAGGACTTCCTGTGTTAATGAGCAGCCGCTCATGTGCACACCTTACAGGGACACACTGCCTGTCCTGACCAAAATTTGAGTCCAGTGGCACCTTTAGACCAACAAAGTTTTATTCTGGGTATAAGCTTTTGTGTGCATGCACACTTATTCAGATAACTATGCTGTAATTGTGCTAATGTCCAGTGTTGGTTACTTTGTTGTGCTAAGCTATTCTATGTATTCAGAGGATGACTCAAAGTTTTCCTTGTGAGGCCTTGTTGTGGGATGTTAAATATTATTGAGTAATCTTTGTTGGAAAGATCTTAAAGTTTTGACTTTTTTAAGGAAATGATGCTCATCTCCATGACAAGAAAATCTTGTTACTTGAAGCTGGCCCCAAGAAACCAACTAACCAGTTGTCGAAGAGTTATAGTAACCGAGTCAGTGCTATAACCTCTGGCTCAGCCACACTCCTTAATAGTAAGTACAGCATTTAACAATGATTTGGATGTCATTTATGAGTACATACAGGGCATAGGATTGACTGATCTTGAGATGTTAAAATTAGAAGTCTGTGTAGCTGTGCATACCAAGTAAAGGGCTGCTGGCTTGGAAGTGCTGCAGACTAGGTATTTTAGGTGTTAGCAAAACAGGTGATCCAGTTCTTCTATAGAAAGAGAATGTAACTGTAATAGTCATGTATTGAAATTAATTTGAAGAGTCACAAATTCTTGTCCTGCCGAGCTTGATCTTTTTCATAGGAGCTCTTGGAATGGAAGCCCAAGAATAATGGCCAACCTATGAGGTTTCTGGCCAGCACCCCCCAGAATAGACTGCTGATGTCCTACTTAACTACCCATTGGAAGACATCTGTGCTCCTCCAAAATGTTAGGTTACCATATCTGTGCTTGATTCTGTGTTTGCTTGACAGTGGGGAAGTGGTAGGAGGGGGATTTTTGTTAGTTGCCTCAAAACTGAACTATTTGGAGCATATTACATTGTTGATTCATCACTGTATTCAGTTTTTTCTTGGCATAAAACAACATATTGCTGAACTGGCAGAAAGGATCCTTTCATATTAATCTCTAATAAAGGTTTTTCTATAGACAGCTTATACCATTAACATCAAAATCTTTTTCATAGTCTTCTGATACTTACTCATAAGTAGAGTTATGCCTTTCTAAATCTATTGAAGTCAGTGTGCTTAGAAGGGTTTACTCTGCTTAGGATTGTACTGTTAATATAATATCCATGTAAAGGAAAGAAGATATTGCAGTATATTTTATTTGAATTGCAGATAGTGGAATGCTGTTTAAAAGGCAGCTCCATGTCATAATTAAAGCTACTATTTTCTGTACCTTTTTAAAAGCAATAGTAAGGCGAGAGAAATTAAAACCAAAGAAGCAAAAGCAACATCCATTTTTGTGTTATGCAGTTTTAGGGTGCCTAGAATAAAACAGTATTACTATTTTAAAAAACCTTTATAAGAATGTGCACAGCTCAGTGATAGTGGAACATGCAGTGTGATCTTAAGCAGAGCTATGCACTTCTAAGTCAATTGACTTAAATGCACTGAATAGGTATAATTTTACTTATATTGGTACTGTGTATTATTACACATTATATGATACATGGGAACTTGTTCTGTAATACATATTATAGAATAAGTCCCCATTTAGTAGGCAGTGATAAAATGAATTAACTGCAGCTCCTGCTTCTCTCCTACAAGTGAGGATAAACTGTGTCTCCACTCTTCCTTGTTGGAGGTTTTTTCAAGAAAACTTGTATATACTGCTTTGGGATTCTTTAGACTTTGCCTCAGCAACAGGGAGGGGCCATGACTCAGTTGCAGAACACCTGCTTGCATAGAGTAGGCCCCAAGTTCAATCCAAAGCAGCTTGAGTTAATAAAGTGATGTGAAGGCTCCCCACCTAATAGAGAGCCTGTAGCAGTCAGAGGAGACGGTACTGACCTTGATAGACCAATAGCTTGTCTCAGTATACTTCATGTGTTCAACTACTTAGTGGATTGGATACAGCGCAAGGACTGCAGAAGGATTGCTGATATTCCTGGTTTTCATCTCTTCCTGGCGGCCCATCCTGGGAAGGTAATCCCCCAGGATCAAGGGATATGCATGGAGTAATAGCTATGTGGGTTTGGAGGTTTCAGTGGGGAGGGAGAAGGGGGCAAAATTGCTCTTTTTTCCTCTTCCGTCAATAGAGCGGTACAGACAGGAGGGAGCGATTTTGTCTTCTTGCCCTCCCCATTGTAGCCACCTGACCCACATGCTGTTATTCCCTGTAACTTCACAGGATCAGGAATGATTATGGAGGAATGGGGGACCTGGAAAGATTGGCTTAGGATCCAACTCAGCTCAAAGATCGCAATTGCTACTTTGGTAATACTGCCCTTTCTGTCACCACTATTGTCCCTTGGAAAGTTTATTTGATCCAAGAGCTGCATCTGTTCCTTAAAACCCTCCACTGTCCAACAGATAAAGCTAAAGAAATGACAACTGAACCACAGTTAATGCAGTTCGGTTTTGCTTGCGGCTTAACAGAGAGAGTTGCCAAGCATCTAGTAGAAACAAGTGAGAGAACTGGTCTGGACTCTTGTCTGTAAGGTTCCACATCACACATCTGTGAGGTGTTACAGTTATTCATTTAATGTTGTGGGATCCTTTCCTTTCTCTTCCAGGCTTTGGTGCTTGGGATCATATTTGCAGTATGAGAATCAAGCCTTTTCGGCGGATGCAGGTGCCTGATACTGCAACACATACAGTTTATGGCAGTGTGTGGTAACATAACTTTGTGTGATGTCAGTTCTCAAGAAATTTATTTCTTAATCGCCTATGGTTTGCTTTCTTTTTAGAGAGGGGAGCAGATGGCTTCTCATATGACATACAAGTGAGATGTTTGTTCTTTTACTGTATTTGCAGGGTCTTGTGCAAAGGAATCATATATATGTTCTTTATAGGCAGATGAGCAAGCTGTACCCTCATCAAAACCATTAATACACCCTTGTTGGTTTTCTCTTTGCACAAGACCCTGGGAGTGTGGGAAAGGGTTCATGACTCATGCATGCACCCGTTATTTCTGCTTATATGTTGCATGTGCAGCTGTTAAACACACAAGGAGGCAGGCCCCAGGAAGTATCGGTCATTACACTGTCATGCTCCTAATCTCCTGGCAACACCATATGGGATTGTTGTAAGCATTACTGAGGGTTAGATCTTGGAATTTGTCAGTGGTAAGCACTGACAGCCATGGATCATCTTGGCTTTCCTTTTCCCCCAGCAGTCATTTCTGACCCTGGAAATTTTATTTCTGATGTCGTAGCACCCATGTGGAGTTAATAACCATGTAATTTGGGAGGCTGCAGTGAGGAGAGGAAAGGAGCAAAAATTGCTACCATCTGCTTCTTGCATGAGCAGAGCTCTGCTGTTGGAAAATTTTGCCCCTGTCTCCCTCCCCATTGCAGTCTCCCAACTCTACATGGGTCCTGTGAAAATGGGGATAAACTTTCTAGGTGTTGGATGTGGCTGTTAGGGAGAAGAGAGAGCTGGGATGGTTGGAGATCCCTGCATGTGGACCTTGTGAGGTTTTTGTACTGGATCCAGCCCAAAATACAGAAGGTCCCTTGAAGACTTTGAAAAAATAGTATGTAAATATTAAGTAGTAATAGCTAGAGATGTGAAGGTCTAGGGGGGGAAATATCAGGTCTCCCTCCCCCCTGGACTTTTTTCAGTTTTTTCTAACAGAAACATTGGAAAATTTGGGGGAACTCTGAAAAAAATCTGTAAAACATTTTCCCTTTTAGAATGAGTTAAATCCTTTTTAAGATCCCCCCCATTTTCTAATGAAAAACTGGGAAATTTCGGGGAACAAAGCCAAAGTTTCTATGTTTTTTTAATGAATGACATGAACAACAAGGTTTTACTCAAACTGTTTAGTATGAAACATTTTGTTTAAAATAATATACAGCATGAAATAATGATAATTCCTATGTTTACTATAGACATGTACAACATTTTTAAAAATGTCTTTTGTTTAAATGTAAATAATTTTGGTAACAATTAAAATACTATAAGCTGTTCAAGGGTAATACATTCTTCAAGAATTTAGTGTTTTCAATGTTATATTCATAGGGGAGCAGGCAGTTCTTTAAATACCCAGACCATTTAGAGTTTTAAGGTAAGAAGCTGCGCTTTGAATTGTGTCTGAAAATGATTAGTCAGCCAGTATAGTTCTTTCAGAATTGATGCAAGATGTTTTCTGTGAAGCTCACAGCAGCTACACTTTTATTGACATTTCCAAAGAATTCTACAGACAGCACTTTGCAGCAATAATTATGGCTAGCTCATGTTTTCAAGGAGCTGCGGTGGCTCAAGTGGTTAAGACGCTGAACTGCAGGCTGTGCAAGGTCGGTAGTTCAGCAGTTTGAGACCCAAGTGTGCCACATGACAGAGTGAGCTCCCGTCTCTAGTTCCAGCTCCTGCCAACCTAGCAGTTCGAAAGCAAGAAATTGCAAGTAGATAAATAAGTACCACTTCAGTGGGAAGGTAACAGCGTTCCGTGCACCTTGGTGTTTAGTCATGCCGGCCACATGACCACGGAAACGTCTTCGGACAGTGCTGGCTCTTTGGCTTTGAAACGGAGATGAGCACCGCAACCCTAGAGTCGGATTCGACTAGCTTTCGAGCAAGGGAACCTTTACCTTTACCTTTACATGTTTTCAAGCTGCTGATAAAGCCGGTGTGCCAGCCAAAGCTATGCATTATGGACCAGGCCTTAAGCTTCTCTTTGTAGACACACATGTAGTGCTACTCACCAAGCCATAAACCTGCTCCTTTAGGAGATTGTGAATTACATCTACGCTGTGAATTACATCTACGCTTTCTCTTCAGTCTCTGAATAGTTTTCTTATTGAGCAATAGTACTTTAGGCATGTTTGGACTGAGTTTTAATTCATTGAGACACATTGTCATGGTCTCTGACCTTAATGTTATAGCTTTTTGAACAGAATAGGCCTTAGAATTTCCTTTTAGTTTTCAAATTTGCAAACATGTTTAGCTTTGCTCTCACTGTCACAGCCTTGAGAAAAAAATAGATTATGAATAAATGGCTGCATGCCCAGACTGAATCTTAGAACTAATAGAACACAGTTTGAAACAAGTATTCTTGGGGAAATGGCACTCAGTGCTCAGAGGGGTCTTACATCACACCCTCAGAAGAAACAAATTAGATGGTTTAATAGAATCTTGTGAGATTTGTATAACTGTCATGTATGGGTTGCAGTGAGACTACCTTATCTTTTCTAAAAATGTTTTGGTGAGAATCTTAGAAATTGTGCTTCATCTTTTAAATTTAAGATAGATTTCACGTATGATTTTAATTTCTAATTTCATGGACCTATGCTAGTATTTTTTATCATTGTGATTCTTTTATGTTTAATTATTTCAAAAGTGATTAGACTGCTTTTAAATAAAAATCTTATATGGTAATATTGAGTGGTCTTTGGCTGGAATGCAAGGTTTTCACTTGACACCTGGAATAAATAAACTTCTGTCTTCTCTTCAGTCAGAGGGCTGGTTACCAGTTAGAGATTGATTAATAGAGAGAATAATAATCTCAATACAGCCTTGTAGCTTAGTGGTTAATGTGTTGCTTTGAAACACACAAAGAGACTTCATTTCCATGTGTAGGTTGTAATGTAAATGCTTTCCCCCATGAGTGGGATAAAACTCTGTGCTTCCAGATGGTCATTTGACTTGTGTGGTACTTTACACCAAATATCTGGATGACTCCCAGTTTCATGTAGACATTAAACTGTACGGGGGACAAGATAGAACCTAGTCGGGCTCAATATCACAAGAACCAAGGAGTTGTTTCCCAGCACTACATTCTGGAACCAGTCAGACAAATAGGATCAGAAAAACCAGAGCACAGTACAACTCATACTCTCTTGTCTAGCCAGTCTTGAAGAATACAGTGGTTGATGGTGTTGAAACTAGCTGGGAGGCCCAGGAGAATTAACAGTGTTGCATTATGCCTGACTCTTCAAGTTAAGGTTGTCAGTCAGGGCAACCAAGGCAGTTTCAGTTCCAAAACCAAGCAAGAAACTGGATTGAGATGAGTCTAAATCATCTGTCTCATCCAAGAATTCCTGGAATTCCACAACTACCTCTTGTTTCAGCACCTTGCCTCCAAAGGGGATATTTACGAGTGCCTGATACTTGATCAAATCATTTAGGATTTGGGATGGCTTCATTAGGAGGAAGCACTTATTCAAGGCACTGGTACCATCTCTGAAGCATTCATTACTTCCTTGATCCAACCATCCAGAATTCTCTAGCTAAATCTAATGAGCATTTAGGGCAAGGGTCAAGCATCTGTGTGATAGATTTTACTTCACCACGGAAATTGACCATATTCTTAGGCCACAGACTAACTGGAATTTAAACAACTGCAACTATTTTGAGCTCTAGAACAAAGTTTGAGTCCCGTGGCACCTTTAAGACCAACACAGATTTATTCAAGGTATGAGCTTATGTGTGCAAAGACACTTCCTCAGATACGTCCTGATAGCATCCTGAGATTGCTCTGTGGTGCTAACCAAGTCATAATGCATACAAGTGGTTTTTATCTGCCAAATGTCTAGCAAATGAATCACATGCTAATTTTTTGTATTTTCTAGCTTTTCAGTTTTATCTTAAGTGTATGCTTTCATTCTGTACTTACTAGAGATTTAGCCATTGAATTTTGTCAGTGGGAGTTGCTGAGAAGAGAATATTTCTGTGTGTGTGTCTGTATATTCCTTGATGTGATTAGTAGCATTTTTCTTTTTACAGGTGTGGGATGCTTGTTCTGAAGCCATGATAATCTTTGATAAAGATAACCTGGAAGACATGGGGTATATAGTAGAGAATGATGTTATCATGTCTGCTCTAACCAAACAACTGGATGCCATGTCAGGTAGTGGCTTCTTTCCTAATCTTGAGTTCTCTTGAGGGGTTTTCAGTGAACAAGAAAAGTAGAATCCTAGACAACTGTGAGACATAGGGAAACCTAGGTCTACCACATAACTTGGGAATGTGGACCAAGCATTTTTGGGTCAGGTCCTTCTGAGTGCAGAACAGTCCTTTCCCCCTTTTCGGGTTTTCCACATTTAAACCCTGGAAAATACTTTATTGGCTGTCATGGAATTATTTAAATATGGGGATTCATTAAGCTATTGGGTTGTTCTGCCTAGGCTTTGACTGGTTTTGGTTTTTTTAGACTTTTAGTTGGTGATATTGATACATTGTATCCCCATCAGACCGTGTGGAAGTTCTCTACAGGAGCAGAGCACTTCGGTACACCTGGCCCCTTCCCTATCAAACCTGTGATGCAAGTCCTTGGGTTGAAATTGATTTAGCAGATGGACGCAGACTTCAGACCAAACTGCTGGTAACAAAGCCTTTATTTTCTGTTTGATCAGGCACCATCCTTTGCCAAGTCCTTTCCACTGGATTTGGTTCTAATCTCATGTGGTATTACTCAGCGTGAAGGGACTAAGAGGTGAGTTGGAGTGGTTACAGGTCTATGAGTGATAAGCCACTTTAGTGAATCTCATGCAGAGTTCCATCTGTAATGTTTGGAGTTACTGTTAACCAATCAGAGCCATATCAAATATAGTTCTACTACATCAAACATCTGGTAAAGGCTCTGAACTTCCATGACAAATGGGTTGTCTGGTTCAAAATATAGTTCTACATCAAACATCTGGTAAAGGCTCCAAACTTCCATGACAAATGGGTTGTCTGGTTCAAACTGGATTGTCCTTTGTCCAAAAAGGGTCTAAATCTGCCAGGATGGTCCAATGTGGAATGGGAAAAAATGGGTAATTCTAATGGAACCTCCAGGGCCCCAAGATCCCAGACACTCTAAGTGGTGCTCTTGCCATAATAAGGTGTTAGGATTTCTGTCACATTCTCCTCCCCCCAGAAGATTTTCCAGCTTCAGGAAGGTTTATTGATGGGGTTGTGGAACCCGCGGCACTGCAGCCTTCTGGCTCACATGGCTGTAAGTTCATATCTGTCTCATGACAGTGGCAATAAACCTGGGGTTGGAAACAGTTTCTGGAGGGAGGGAATACAGGAAAGTAGTGGATCCAGCCTACAGCTGTGGTCCTAAATATGCTCACTATGAAATATTTCTAGGAGTGGGGACACTTTGGATTTCTTCCCTCCTTATGATTTGTGCCAGACATATCCCTGCTTTCCTCAGCTCCCTTTGTTTATATAAAGTTGTGCCCCTTGAACAGCCAGTTTAGACAAACCTCACATTGAAGGGAGGAGGGGAAAAAAGAAAAGCAATTTAATATAATGCAAGGTACAAAAATCACAAAGAGGATGCAACAAAGTATAAACGCTAGTACCTATCTATTACTATTCTAACACCTTCCTTGAAGAGGATAAGGAATCTAAACCAACTCTGATTTTTCTAAGCCATCCTCTTGCAGCCTACTGGAAAAGCCAACATTCATACATACATTCAGCTGTCCATTGTGGATAATGAGCCCTGGAGGAGTTGATTTTGTTAATTTTGAGCTGGTTCATTTCAACAGCTGCCCTCTTTGCAGATTGGTGCAGATGGGCAGAATTCCATGGTCCGAAAAGCAGCTGGAATTCAGACTATTCAATACCAGTATGATCAGTCAGCAGTGGTTGCTACTCTTCACTTGTCTGAGGTAACCTGTTTACTAGGTTCTTCTCTGGGTCTCAGCTTTTGAACACACAAAACAAATGAGAGAAAGGTAACAGCATTTGTTTGTCTTTTGGTTCTCTCATGCTGCAGGCAACGGATAACAATGTAGCATGGCAAAGATTCCTTCCATCTGGACCGATTGCTCTTCTCCCGGTAAATGACTTAGTAACTGTAGATTCATCCAGTTTTTAAAAAAATTAAATAATTTTATATATTCTGCTTTTGAGCCCAAAACTCACTTTTAGAGTGACTAAAAGGAATTATAATCCAATACAAAGACAATAAATGTTCAATACAAAATGTTCCTTGAAGAGCCAATTCCCAGCTCAACTGAATTTTAAACTTTGTTTTGAATTCCTCTTTCCTGTATTCATTGGTTTTGAATTAGTACTAACCATATCAGTCATTGTTTTATGCTCATTTATGGTGTTTGACCTCATTTGGCCTCTTTGTATTCACGGACTCCTTCCACATAGTAGGTAGGAATTAGATTCTTGCACTAGTTGACATAGTGGGTGGATATGGTGAAGTTGGCCTTTTTTTTGTTTGTTGAATTAGCTATCTGACACTATCAGCTCTTTGGTCTGGTCCACATCACATGAACATGCGTCTCAACTTCAGAATATGGATGAGGAAAGTTTTGTAGACTCTATCAACTCTGCTTTTGTGAGTATTGTTCTCTCCTAGATGTGCTACTTACTTATGTACTCCAATAAGACTCCTGATTTAAAAAGAATGAGAACAAGCATGTCAATTTAATTCCTTACCTTTGGTTTGAACAGAGTGAAAGTTTGTTCATGTTTGTATGGTAGTTCTTATGGATAGTGAATATATTACTGGTGTAATTCAATTTCCTCTTAAATATGAGATTACTGTCCCCCCAGTAATTTAGCAAATGTCAACCTTGACTTCCAGTTTACTTTCAAAGCTTCATCCTTTAAAAAAAAATCTTTACTAGTGTTCTGTTATTCTGCATTTGGATTAGAGAAATTTTCTACCATTCTGAGCATGAATTAGCCTTGCATGATTTTGACACTGCTGTACAGCCTGCATCAGTCACATACAATTGAATGGTGACCACTGAAGCCCCATCAGCCTGTGAACCCCACTGTGTTTCTTGTGAAGGCATCTAGTGTGGGTTCAGCATGAGAAGCATGTTGAGAGATCTGAGAACAGAAGACAAGAAACTGTTTTCTCTCTATCCCTCCTACCAGTAATTTTGGTGATAAATGCCAGTTATGCTTTCATCGCTCTTCTAACTGTAGCCTTTAAATAAGTGGAATTCTAGAAAGCTTAGAAGACTTACATCTATTTGTACTTTCATTATGTATTCTCTTAGTTTTGTAGCCTATCTGCCTCTATGTGATATCATATAAACAAATCTTTGTCATTATTCAGTGGAGCAATGCAAATCACTCTGACTTCATTGATACTGCTGGATCCATGTTCCGATCGGCCCTTTCTCTGCTGATGCCATCAAGGTCTGCAGCTCGTCAGTTGCCCCCAAGTGTTGCAAAAGTGGATCCAAAGAGCCGAGCTGTGTTCCCTCTTGGACTAGGGCATGCAACAGAATACGTCCAACATCGGGTGGCCCTTATTGGGTAATTACAGATTGAGAAGTTTTAGTACTGTGATAGGTCTTTGGGAGGATGGCTTGATTATGGTATCAAGAAGGAGATCACCCTGAATGACAGAAATGAGCTGTTTCTAGTGGAATGGGATGGAGATTGTTGGGGTGGGGTAGCAGTGGTTTCTCAAGGGGTCTGTAAAATTTACCTGGAGTGGTTATGGGTTTTAGAGACATAGATTAAAACAACTGCTGAAGCTGATGCATAGGCATTGTGGGAATAGGCAGCAGATGTGGTTATGAGGGCGATCACTGGTCAAGAATATAATAAGGGACAAATTCTAGAGGTGGTAGCCATATTAGTTTGCAGTAGCCAAAATAAGAAAACATTTTGAGACAACTTAAAGGCTGGCACATTTATTGTGGTATAACCTTTTGTGAGTCAGAGCTCACTTTGTTGGATGAATGCAAGCAGCTTATGAGGTCCTCAGGGTGATATTCATGCAATTCCAGTGGGCAGTGTTCTTTCTGAATACCATAATTTTAGGTTGCTGTTTGTGCTGGCTGTAAGCTGCCATTGGCTTCTCTCTTTAGGGATGCAGCTCACAGAGTACATCCTCTAGCTGGTCAAGGCGTAAATATGGGTTTTGGTGATATCGCAAGTTTGACGCATTATCTCAGTGCTGCAGCATTCAATGGGAAGGACCTGGGTAAGGATTTAAAATTATACTTTTTCTCCATTCTATACTGTGCTGAATTGTTAGAAACTGTTGTGAAAGGAAAAGTGGTATGCAAATGTCCCTAATAAAAACAAATATATTTTATTTATTCAATATACTTTTATACTGCCTGTGAACTCAAATTCTCAAAGTGGTCAACAGAATTTTGTCCTGCTGTAGATGGAAAACCTTTCTGTAAAAAGGAGAAATTTGTGTCACCGTTGAGTCAGAGGGGAGCTTACTGCATACTGCAAATTTACACAAGGTTGTTTTAAAGACAACTATTTTGTGTTTTGTCAGAAAGGTTCTAAGTTGTCCTAGCTGTATGTTCTTGTCTGCAAGTTGGGTCATCCTCATGCTGTAAGTTGGAAGTTTCATAGCATTCAAGATTGGCTGTTCTACTGCCTAACCACCTGCAAAACTGGCTCGATAATAGAAACAACACAGTCTGCCAAATGGGGCACAGTAATTCAAAGGTTGCTTCCATGATGCTTTGATTTAGGGATGGGGGGCAGAGTGGTGCAGCTCCAATGCAAGATTGGGTTGAAGACTGAGACAGGGATTTAGCAGAATAATCAAAGAATTTTTGAGGTAAACTAAAGCACAAGAATGCAAGTCAGTGATGATACTGAAGTATGTTGCAGCATAGTTACCGAAGCCAGCTAAATCTGAGTCCAGGAGCACCTCAGAACAAGAAGATTTTCTGGCTATAAGCTTGCAAGAGTCAAAGCTCTGTTGGTCAGATGCAGATTTGATAAAAGGGAGCTTTGGCTCTCAAAAGCAAGTATATTGCAGTATCAGATAGTGCACATACCTCTACAGTACCAATACTTGCACAGTATCTACCTGCACTGTGCAGCATGTATTGCAAACAATAAAGGGAGGAAAAAGAAGAAATATTATTGATTAGTACACTTTTATTCCATCATTCCTCCAAGGAGCTCAGGCCAGTGTATATTGGTCTCCCTTCCTCCATTTTATCTTTTTAACAACCTTGTCAAAGTGGTCTATTCTGAGAGGGTGTGACTGGCACCCAGCAAACCTCATGGCAGAGTGGGGATATGAACCTGCTGGATCTCAGTTCGCCACACTGGAAAGAAAAAGACAGCAAGGCAGGTGGAGGGAGATATTACCTATCCTTTTCTCTTTGGCGAGGTCTCTGGGTAGATTATGGGCATGTTAGACACCCAACGATCTGTGTGGACTTCTGATCTACACCAACCCAAAGGTCAGGAGTTTTGGGAGGGATTGTTAGGCAAAACCACTGGGAGACTTTTTTGTTTGGTGAGACTGAAGCTGGATGAAGGGTCATTGTACTTTGATTGGATCCAAATGTTTGAGAATAGCCATGGAGCAGACCATATCTGAGTCATTTTTCTAGGCTTGTCCTTTTGTGCCAAAGCTGCACCTTTCTGACCAAATTTGCTGGCTAATATATTCCTTGACTAAAATTTAGTCATACAAAAGTGGTCTGTTCCTGCCTATTCTCCTAGCCGATCTACCCTCCTTTGTCTTGTGCACACACATATTCCAAATGAGGCTAACCGTATTCTTTTTTGAAGACAGCTCTGTAGACGTGGACAAGCCAGACTCTTCTGAGATGGGAGAACAGGTGGACTGGTCACACAGACCAAAGAAGGATAGACAGTTGGGCCACAAAATAGAGGCAAAATGACTATGGCAACATAGTTCAAAGAGCACTGAAGAAATTGGTTCTGGTGCAGTGGAAGAAGGCAGCCAAGCTTGTCTTTCATTGCCTTCTCATCAACGCATAGCTACAGGTGGATGCATTCTTGCATTCGCTGGTTGAACAAGAAGGCAAGTGTTGGTGGCAGCTGATCCTGCTACACATCTCTTGGATGGTGTGTGAAGAATAAAGGGATGGACAAGCCTGAGCAGGAATGGGTGAATAGGCACTAATCCTTCAAGAACAAGTCTCTAGTTGGATGCATAATCAAGTTTACCTCAGGTGGATTTAGTTACCCAGTAAATTTCCTCACTGCCTTCCATCCTGTCCCTTCCCACTGTTTCAGTTCAAGTTGGTGTGAAACAAACACTGCTCTTTAGTGATTTTGGGTGTAGAATCACTGGCCCATTCTCCAGATTATTTATTATCTTTAGTCACCTTGTTGTACTCAGGGTTTGAAAGGATGAATTTTTCCTACCGATTTAATATTATGTAGCCCTTATTACATGGGCATTCCAATCCATTGTAGACTTCAGCAGTTATGACCACTGAACCAGAAAATGATCGCTCATATGCATTTACTGGACAATATAAGAGTATAATTTTGTGTACGTGGTGCAGGGATAGTGGCTATTTAAGCATGTGTAGAAGGGAGAAATTGTGCATGTGGTAACTTTCAAGGGAAAATATGTACTTTTGAATATGGTGTGTGAGTTTTTAAACTCACATACATACTATGCTACATAATAAAATTTATTGTTGTGATTTTTAGGAATATAACACTGAAATTCTTAATGTTTTTGGTATGTTATTTGAGTGACTGGAACCTGGATGCTGAGACTGGTCATAATAATCTTTCCAGTGAAAGCTCTTAATTTTCAGATGCATTCACCTGACCTTCTGAATTATAATGTTCTAAATGTCAGGTATTTCAGGTTGAAGTATTATGTTGAATACTCTTCCATTAATTAGTGGAGGTTGTAAGGAGGAGGTGTGGGTACTGGCAGCCTTAAAATTGTTGGAAACCCTTAGTTGTTAGCCAGTGTTAAAATTTTAGTCTTGGACTGGGGAGACCCAGGTTCAAATTCCATGCATCTGTGACACTCACTGGGTGAGTGAGAGTCGCACTGCCTAGCCTACCCACGGGGCTGTTATGAGGATAAAACAGACAGGAAAACCAAGTATACTGTCCTGAGCTCCTTGGAGGAATATGATAGATAACTTTGTGGACCAAGGTTATGCTGCTCCGCACAAATAATATGGGAGCAGAGTGCCAATTTATACCTTCCCAGGGTGACCAAATCCCAGTAGAAATTTTTGTCAGCCCAATCCAGCCTTAACACCTGATGCTTAACCCCGTTATGGTAATCGGTATCACCTGCCTACTTATGGAATAATTCTGTTGCAGGCTCTTTAAATCATCTTCTGCAGTATGAACAACAACAACAGAGATACAACCTTTCTATGATGGCGGCAGTTGACCTGCTGAAGAGGCTGTACTCTACAACTGCAGCTCCTTTTGTGCTGTTAAGAACCTGGGGACTGCAAACAACTAATGTGGCAACGTCAGTTAAAGTAAGATACTTTAAAAGTACTATCTGTCATATAAGGATCCATGGGGGTTTATGATGAAAGACCAGTTTATGATTTGGCAGTTAACTAACCAACATTTAACACTAGTACCTAGAGCACTACACTTACAACACAAGTTGTATATTCTCCGGTGGCCCAGGAGTGGGGCAGTCCTTGACTCCTTACTCCTGGGAAAGTACCTCCCCTTCTGTAGGCAGGGCTGGAAAACTTTGATCCCGGAGGGGAGGGGCTTATCCTCTGATCCCCAGTCTTAATAATAATACTTTCAATTTATTAATTGCTTTCCCCAGTGGGCTCAAAGCGATGTACACTTACACATTTTAGACAGGGGACTAACAATGTTCATAGGAGATAGGGAAGACAACATATATTCATTTAATTGCACACGCTGTCACTGAATGGTGTAAACGTCTTCTGGCTTGGCTCAGTCATTTTCCGAACGGCTGCTTGTCGACCAGGCTTCAGGACCCGTATGTCAAATCGCCACACTGCCACCGCCTGGCCGGAAACATCCACTGCAGGGATTTTTGTAGCCGAGAAGTTCTTCTGCCTTTTCCGAACCTTGACCAGGACATCCCGACCGTCAGCTAACACCCTCCCACAACGGAGATTGGTGTGCCCACCCTCTCTAAGGAGTGGTTCCCATTTTATCTACTCGCCGAAGCTTTCGAATCGCTGGGTGGATGA